TCACCTCTTGCGAGAATTTCGGCCTCATCAAATTTGAATGTGTGACCGGGTCATCGCGCCCCAGTCCACCACGCGCGATGAAAGTTCAACAGGTCAGAGCCCGCATGCCGTCCAACGACCTATCCACGTGCAAGAAAGCAATTAACGTTAATTGTCGCTATAGGTTTGCCGTCATGATTTATCCTATAAATACTGCAAACTCCCGTGCATACTCTACCCATGTTTGCTACTGCTCTCTGTTTATGTCTCTGATGATGGATCCGCGAGGGATATCGAAACGTCAGGCGAAAAAAGTATTATCCGAGCGATTGAGTCGTCTTCTTCTCAATAACTTCCTGGGACTCGCATGTTCCCTTGTATTGGTAGTTTAAAAAATAATCAAACTAAAACGTGACGTTTAAACCTCGGCCAAGAAGCGCCAACTGTATCTCATCCTTCCGTTGGGATAGGTTGGACTGGTTTCCTTTACGCATCGAATTATTTGTATGTTGTTTCCTTATCGATATCCTTATTGTTACAGACCTATACTAAGTGCACTGTATCCCAAATTTCGTGTTATTCGCTTATTATGCGTGTGCTAACATTTGGAGCCTCCTAGCATGCAAATGTATGCCTATTGCCTAATTTTTGCAGGGTCATCCAGCCTCAGCTGCTCACTGCTGATTTAAAATCATGTATACGGGTTACCACAAATTCCCCCAACGTTGCGCCGATGAAAAGATTGGTGGCCTCTATAGATTTAGAGCCCACAACAGCAAGATGAAAGCTTTAATACAGCCAGCCCTCTAACCATCTGAGCTACAGGGCCTCAATGCAAGCTGTGAGTTGGATAACATCAGAATCAAGTCACCAGCCCAGTCCAGCCTACTTCAACTTATAGAATCCACTAACTTGAATATAGTAAGTTAAATGTCCAAGCGGGAATTTCTAATCAATTAATACAGAATCGGACAGATGACCACCAGACACACGTAATTAAAAGTAAGTTTTGGAAATTTTGAATAATTAATTTGACCGAGTCACGGATCCTCATAGTTTAGGTGGCTAGATGGGTTGGCTGCACTTCAGCCCTCTTTTTGTTGTTGTTGGTTAAAACCCCGACGAAGACACCGTTTATTCACAAGTGAATTGAATGGATAAGACAGATTTTCCTGTTGGGTCATGTTAGACGGAAGCACGACCAATGCGTCATATTTTGCAAATAGCCATCGTAAATTAAGTTTTGACTAACGGAATCAACCACAGCCACTCCCATGGACCGGCATTCCGCAGATGTCCA